ACGTGCTGTTTGTGGTTCAGTCATAACATTCTTTTGCATTGCATTGAGCTCTAATAAAAAAGCGTCTTTTCGTGCTCGGATGGTGCTGTATCGAAGAGCTCAAAAGCGCGTTTGCATCATTATTCCTTGTCCAAAGGCTTACATTATAAAAGCGCTTACATACATGATTGTGGCAACCCATGACGTAACATATTGGAAAGAACTGATGTGTGCACGTCTGAAATGTGTAAGCGGGTAAAATTTTTGCTGCTGCTGGGCTGCCGTAGCTTTTTCGCTTAGAGGAAGCGAAGCTACGATCAGTGACCTTCGTACTATACTTAGAATCAGTACGAGTGTAGCGAATTGCAATCTGTTTACTCCAAGAGTGACCACAACCTTAACCCAAGGCAAATAAACTCTTCCGTTCAAAACGTAAGCTGTATTTCCTGGTTTTACTTGCGGCAATAACGGGGTTACACATACCCTTGTATGAAAGGGTGGGTCACACAAGATGGTGTGACCGTACAAATATGTAAATTACATAAGTTAGTGTCAACACACAATGGTGTGGCTACACCGTAACAAGAAGCCACTACGTGGCAGGACTACCAGTAGTTATGCATATTAATTAGGTTTTACTCCTTAATTATGAAAGTCTAAGGTTTTATATATATAGGCGGCTCTGCCGCAAATAAAAGAATTTAGTACAGTTTCAATTTTGAACAGAAGACTTTATCTTGGTTAAGGTTTAGGTACTCTTGGAAGGAGCGGATTGCGATCCGCTATACTCGTACTATTTCTTGTAAAGAACATAAGGTCGGTGACCTTAGCCTAGAGTTCTCTAGGCTAAGAGCTACGACAGTCCTGCTGCACTTGGTAGTATTCGTAGTCGGTCCACTCGCGATACGGTTTGAGCAAGCCCACATAAATCACCGGGTGGGTGCGCAACCGTTTTGGAAGGTTTAGCGTATGCGCAATGCCCCGCTTCGTCGCAACCTTAAAAGGCCCGATAAACCGTGGACAGAGCTTCGTCTTAGACACAGCAGCCATTGCATGTGTAGAGGGTTTTTAGCATAATTTTAAACCAGATTCCCGACCTCAAAGTTTTCGACGTCTCCTGTGCTTCTTCCATCTGCATATACTTTCAGCATGTCTTGGCTTTCAGCCATCGCATCGCGAACGTGTCGTAAGACACTCGTTTTAGTAGTCAGGAAGTCTCCGACTTTTTTACGAACAGTGAGGGGGCTGACATCAGCTAGCGGCTCTGCTGTTCTATCCCACTAAGCCCCGAGCCATTGGATGGCGGCGTCAGCGGGACGCGAGGATGAACGAGCCCTTTCACTTCGAACGGCGTGTAACAGGTAGACGAATGCACTCAATTGTTCAGAGCGAATTCTACAAGTGGCAGCATGACGCTCCAGCGCCTCGGCGTCTCAGCGCAGACGCTGCGGAGAGCGTCTTCAACGACGCGATTCACGCGCTCAGTTTGGTTATCTGTCTGAAGATGGTTCGCTATTGACACATCCAGTTTGATGCCCAGCACCTTGAAAGTCGTCGACCAAAACTTCCCAGTGAAGCGTGGGTCTCTATCAGAGAAAATTGATTCTGGGAGCCCATGTTGTCGAAAGACACGAACCACAAATAGCAGAAGCGACGATGAGTTAATCTCCTCGTTCGGTCGTATCATGACCACCCCGGCTGAATTGTCTGCCTTCATGACACCGCAAAACTCTTCAAGGACACCCCTTCCAGCTCAAGAAGAGTATCCACTGCGGGATTAGCCTCGAGGGTGACATCGCCGTTTTCCTCTCCCGTCATACCGCTGACAAGGGTATGTAGCTGCGCGCTATCGTCTACAGCAGACACACCCTGGGTCAGGGTCAACGCCCTGCGTCGTGCAGACAACATACGGCTTTGCCGTTTCCTCTCTATGGAGGTTTTACTTCTCATCGAGACCAGTGGGAACACACACTTAGCGTCGTTTAGTGTCCCCAGTCCCTGCTCCACAGGAGCCTTAATTTTATTAAAGCATCCGACAAAAAGATGCTGTTTCGCAGTCTTCGTTCAGTGGATTACGTGCCACTCCATGTGCATCCCTGGGGCCTCTCCCTCGATGCATCGGCCCTTGGCCGACCATGCCACTCTTGGCATGCATCAACTGCTTTGATACTTGAGTAGTGCACAGCCGGTTACGTGCCACTCCACGTTTAACCCACGAGCCAAGCTCGGGCCTCTTGTTCAATACACCTTCGGTGTTTGACAACTCAGATACTCCCATATCCAGCACATTGACCGTCCCAGGTCAGTGCCCGCGCCAATAGCGCTGCTGCTTCCTAGCAAATGTGGATTCATGACTCACCAAAGCTCTACCAGGAGACGTGGGTGTAGCGTTCAAGGTCTTCGACCTCCAATCAAACCATGACTCATGGTATTCCAACCAAGCCATACCAAGGATAAGGTCATACCTTGCATCCAAGTCTAAGACTAAGCAGCGTTTCACGCTATCGAAGTCAAGAAACATGACACTGAGGTCCACAGGGACTCTCGGCTTAGTGACACTAGTCCCCGTTGCTAAGCGAACACTAACGGTGTCACTCAACGACGCTTTCAGCGCCTCAGCATACAGGTGACTTCCTTCCATCGTGGAGCGTCGAGCATAATTGCCCGACGCAGCGGAATCGATAAGGCCCTCCCACGACCTTTCAAAGCCCTTACGACCAGCAAGCCCGAATTGCATACACATTCCGTGTTCAAGAGCACGGAGCTCTTAGGGGCTGGGCCCTGCTGCCCTGTTTGCCCTTGAGGTTCCACAGAACTCAGTTCTTCCTCAGTAGGGTCGCCAGGCGCCTACCAGGCATTCTCGTTCTCCCGCGACAAACCAGACTGGTTAGAATCAAAACGTCGATTCGATGAACCTTTACGCACCTTGCGCAGGGGACAACCAGTCCAAAGGTGACGGGTCTCTCCACAGAAGAAACACCGTCGCGTGTTTAAACGCTGCTCAGCAGCTTGGAGCTCTCCCTTTTCTTTCTCGGCATAGCTGAGATGCATTGGCTCAGGCACGCTCGACGAGCTCTGAGGGTGTGCATTCCAACCAAGTTGTGCCAACTTAAAGTTGCATTCGGCATTCAATGCCACATTCACCGCATATTCAAAAGAAGATGGATGAACACGGAAAAACTCCATTCTCTCCACACCAGCGCAGAGACGGTCACTGTGACCACCTCGGGAAGAGGATCGGCTGCCATTTCAGCAACGAAAATTTTCAACTCTAAAACAAAGTCCACCAACTTTTTTTTTACCCTGTAATGCGGCAAAGAAACGCGATCGCACGCGATATCCCTGGTTAGGCGGTGAGAACAATCGAAAAGGTTGACGCTTCAGCTCCTTCTAGGAGGGAAACGCCACTTCAACCGAAGCACCGCACGTAAGTGCCCATCCTCGCGCTCGGTTCCCGAGCTTGGAGATAGCTAGCGCCACGCGCTGTTGCTCGTTCTGGAGCATGGTGAATGACAAATCACTTAAAGCTGGAGATTCTTACCCTCGAAGGTCTTAACGCTCATCATAAGCGGCCTGGGTTGGAACGAATCATCTGCCGTCGACGTTGGCGTCATGGACACAGTCGCTGCTGACAGCTTCTGGTGTAAGTGCTATAACAGAGCATTATTATGATTCTAGAGCGCGCCTCAGGACCTTGCTAACCGGGGTCTCCCACGCCCTTAGGACCCAGCAGGGACATCAGCTTATTAAGCCCGTCCTGCATGCCCTGGGGCAAACAGGAGTATTGCTTCATCCTTACAGAGGGTCAGCCTTAACGAT